GTATTTGCTCTAATGTGGGGAGTAGGATGACAGGCTCAGTGCCAGTGTCATAGCATAGCACTGGCTAAAGAGCAGAAAACTAGAAGAAACAGCCCATCTGGCCCTGTCCAAAGGACAAAAACTACCTACCAGGTTTTTTAAAGCTTACTAAGTATTCTGCTGTAACCTATTTGATTATCTCCCTCACTTAAATATTCTTGTATCAAAGGGTTACTGCGATCCTTTATGTCAGACTGTCCGGTTTGGGATCATAATGCCTCAGTGTCTGACATAAATTTATTGTAAACTGTTCTTATTGGAATTTGTTGCTCAGAGAGAAAGGACAGCTGTGATGAATGTCTTCATAAGAGATGGAGAAAATATTCCAGTGAAGAAACGGATAGTTAAACAGATTCTGTGATCCGTTTTTATCAGATTGATGATCTCATCCGATGGAGGATACAGGAAATGATCCGTTTTTTAGATAACAGAGGCCAGTGTTTTTAATTCATTCTGCTGACTGGCTTGTGATTGCTGTGGCTTTATACTTGCTATTTATAAAACTCAGCAAGAAAGTGAAAACTACCAAAATGTCAAACCATTTCTTTAAGCGCCCAGTGCTGCACACATAATATCTTGTTTAGATCCATGGCAAAAGGTTAATAAACTAACTTTCAAGCTTGTTGGCTTTCAGCTCAACCTTTTGAAATTGCTAAATTACAGACATGGTCTCTCTGTTTTCTGTCACATACACACACATACACACAAACATAGGTGGAGCAAGCGTCACTGAGCTCCCAGCATGCAGTGCTGCTGGCACGCTGCAGCGAGAGCGAGGCGCGGTGTGCCACCCTAGAGGCCGAGTCAAAGGTGTGGGCGCGGGAGAGAGAGGAGTCCGCGGCTAGAATGGACGCTCTGAGGCGGGACCACGAAAGGATGACGGCGTTGCAACAGCGTCAGGAGGTGGAGCTGGAGGAGCTGGTGGAAAAGCACTCTCAACTGAGGAACAACAATCGCAGCCTGGAGGCCCAGCATCGAGAGCTGGAGGGCAGGTACAAACACTCTGACTTAAAGACACGAAATCTTCACTTTGAAGATTTGTGACATATTTTCCATGTTTGAAAGGACTTCTCCCCCAAAATTAAATATGCACAAAAACATCTTGATCTATGAAAGACACACGTCATCTTTTGTTGGAGGTAAATCCTGTGCTTGAAATATTAAGGTACAAGGAGCTCTTGGATGGCAAAACCCAGCTGGAGGAGAGAGAGCGGGAGATGAAGACGGAAAGAGAGAAGATGGAAACGGAGGCCCAGAGGAGGCTGGAGAGAGAACGAGAGCTGGAGAGGCTGAAAGAAGACAATGACAGGTAACAAATCCAGTCGGGGATCTGATCATCCTTTCACAGCACTCGTGT